TGCAACCCGATCCTCCAATATCGACTTTTAATAAGTCTGTTGCGGCGTGCAACCCGATCCTCCAATATGGACTTTTTAATAAGTCTTTTGTGGCGTGCAACCCGATTCTCCATTATATTTATTTTAGTTAATTCTGTTGCCGCGTGCAATCCGATCCTCCAATATATTCATTATAATCAATTCGGTTGCGGCGTGCAACCCGATCCTCCAATATATTCATTATAATCAATTTTGTTGCGGCGTGCAACCCGCTCCTCCAACATTTTCATTTACCAATTCTTATAGAAGAAATTTTCCCAATAAGTTCAACAATTAATATAAAATTATAAGACAACAAGCATACAATAATTATGATTTAATTATGAAACAAACAAAGGCAAATAACAAATTATTATGGAAATCAGAGAGAAAATATGTAGTTTAATATTTAATATGCTACATGTCAAATAACAATTAAGGCACATAATTCAAATAGCATGTAACAATTAATGCAGAAATTCAAGAATTAATATTTGCCAAAGAATAGGAGAGAAACAATTATTAAAATAATTAATTCATGATTTAAAATAATTTATGATTTTTCAAGTAAGCAGGCAAACAATTAATTTCACATAAAAACTTTTCGGAAAATTGTACGGACTGCGCACGTAAATCAAGGAATGATAAATGGTACTCTTCGAGGTCTTAGAACATATAATTACTTATTAAATTTAAAGATGACATTTTGGGTCATCACAATTCTACAATTATAAATTAATTATATCTTTTTTAGTTAATTCAAGATAATTATTTTTTTCTAATTACACCAATTTATATCCTAAAAGTTCAATTCATATCCAAAAGGTCCAATTCATATCCTAATAGTTCAATTAATATCCTAAAAGTTCAGTTCACAAGAACAAATCCTAAAAACTAAAATTTCAATTCATATCCTATGAGTTTAAACATAAATTAACCAAACTAAAAAAATTCAACCCATACCCTAAAAGTTCGATTCACAAGAATAAATTAATTTATTCTACAATTATAAATTAATTATATCTTTTTTAGTTAATTCAAGATAATTATTTTTTCCTAATTACACCAATTTATATCCTAAAAGTTCAATTCATATCCAAAAG